GCAGCCTATTCCTGCTTAGTTTGACTTTTCAGGGAGAGAAATCCTTTCTCCATTTGACTTTACTGAGGATGTTACTATCCTCCATTTTTGTTTTTTACTGTCTGTCTGCCCAGAGTTCATTAGGGAGCCCCTCAGGAGCCCTTCAGCCAAATGAGCCATGCTAACTTAGACAGCAAAAATGATCTGGGTTGGGCTGGCTGATCCATGTCCTGTCAGATGTACCTGTGATTCCTCCTTGTGGCACAACTGTGCTACACTTTGGCTCCACTCTTTATGAAATAGGTGTCCATCCTTAAACTAAACATAGGTTACCAAAGATAATGTAGAAAAAAAGTCACTTAGCCTTCTTGTCTTTTGAAGGTTTATGCTAGCTTAAGTAAGTCAGTGAGTTTATTTGTCTTTCAACATAGAAGGGAGATGCTTAATTTTTCTCTAGGAAGGGTAGTTGGATTGACTGGAGCTGTTGTCTCCTCTTATTCTTGCTTTCGTGTTGTTCCCAGGGAATAACCTTTCTTCTGTGCATCAGGAGCGTTCCCTCCCTCTTTTTTTAATATAGCAGCTTTAAACCTTCTGCACAGTTATTCCCTATGCATGGTTATTTCTGTGTCGTCTGACACTTGAACTGTCCTCTTCTGTGCCTGAGCAGTTCCTGAAAACCTATTTTGAAACGTGCTGAAGTTTGGGGTTTTGTTTTGGTTGGTGGTGGTTGTTTTTTTGTTTTTTTTTTTTTTATTTTTTTAACTGAAGATAATACTACTTTCTCTGGAAAACATTAGACAAAGAAATTGAAATGCTAAAATATATGTGTATGTTTGTCTTTCTCTTGTGTATAAATTGATCACCTATTGTTGATTTCTTACAGTAATGCAGATATAAGGAAGCAGACATCAAGGAAAGAGACTTAATCACACAATCAGAGCTAGAATTTTAAATAGGACACATCATTAGCATGTTAATGAATTTTCTCACTTTGTGCCAGCTGCCCAAGTATAAAAGATATTGCAGATGTAGTGCAAAAATCAGGGTTGGCTTACTGTGCTGAGAGTTGCCAGTGCTCCCTGTAAAGGAGATTTGATAAAAATCCTTTCATATTTTTAGAGATGCTCAAAAATGTTTTTCCCATTGGATAATAGAAGCATCGGCAAGTGATGCTATTTATTAGCATTTTAGAATGAATGGTACTAATTTGCCCTTTAGATAGTAACTTTCTTCTGAGGGCATCAGAACACTTCTATAAAAGTAGTAACTGTTATTGACATTTTAACCAAGAGGAAAGCCAGGGACACAAAGGTCATGTATTTTTACCCAAAATGGTGGTGAAACTGAGTTTCCTGATCACTCTAGCATCAATCATGATTGAGTTAATCACTTGCAATAGAAAGATTTGACGTCAAGTGATACTCTCCCTGTGTGAGCTTTACATTCTTCTAGTCTGCAGGTATTTCTATAGCCTAGGACATAATGATTCTGGGAAAAATCACTGAAGCTCTTGTGCTTTACTGTTGATCTGCCTTATAAAGTCACAAGGCTCTGTTGTGGCAAGGAAGAGAAGGGTCTGCAGCCCCAACCAACCAAACCTGTTCCAGACAAGCAGAGCTTAATTACTTGCCTGTCTGCCAAAGTGCTGCATTGCGCTTGTAAAGCCTGGCTTGGGTTGATTGGCATTTGTAACCTAGGGCTGGAAATGAAACCCACCCTCTGGTCTTGGTTTCCTCATTACAAGTACTGATGGGCAGGTTTTCCTGTCTCATTTGCTGAATTCCTTTTCGGGCTGCACTCAGCCATTTTCTGCCCCTATTACACTTTTGGGAAGGCATCTCCTGGTAAATTATGTATGTATGCACAAAACTAGGGGGAGGACTGTATTTCGCCATCTAATTGCTAGGCTGTGCTTGCCGACTCATCTTAAAGTAGAATTTCTATACTGAATTAATTTCTGGAGGAAATACAAAATAAAGGCTATCATGTGCACAAAAATGGCTTTTTAACCTTCCCTTTATTTTTTTTAAACTGTTGTTTGGAGGCTGGTACTTTAGTCACTACTGCTTATCTCTCGTTGACGTAATTTTTATTGTCTTTGAAATTGCTTGTATAAGGCCTAACACTGCTTTGTAGAGTGAAGCTTTCTGGAATTGAACAGATATATTTATTAACTAATGAACTGGATGTAGCAAAAGGGTTTCTTCGGAAGGTGGAATTTTCTTTCACACTCAGTTTTCTTTCTTCTGTTCAATGCACATATTCTGCATACTTGCACAGAATATCTCATAGTTTTTTTGTCCTCTAACTGAAGAGAAGCCTATCTCTGCCTTTTTTTTTTTTTTTTTTTTAAATTTGCTTTTTTTAAAAATGTATGTTTTGGCTTAGCTACTTTAGAATAAAAAGTATTCAGAACGTATTTCGAAGAATAACAAAATTACTCCTAGTCTTACTACAGCCATTGTTCAAAAAGCTGCATATTTGGCTGTTAAGGAGGATGCAGTTAATTAGTCTAAAGCTTAATATCATGTGAACAGCAGTAAACCCCTAGTGGTGCTGCTTCAAGTAATACTGGTTTTGCATCCTGAAATATTTATGAAAAGCAGCTTCTGTGCTTCATACACAATTGTATAGGTTGTGATTTACTAACCTGCTAATGACCATTTACTGCAAAGCATTTT